GAATCAATTGATTTGATTGGATCTTGATTTCCAAATCAAGAACCAATTGAATCGGATCAATCAATCAATCAATCAGTCAATCAATCAATCAATCAATCAATCAATCAATCAATCAATCAATCAATCAATCAATCAATCAATCGATAAAAAAAAAAAGACAAAATATAATCCAATCGAATCAATCGATTCGATTGGATCTTGATTTTTAAATCAAGATCCAACCGAATCGATTGATTCGATTGGATTACTTTTTTTTTCTTTTTTTTTTCCATCGGTTGATTAATTGATTGATTGGTTGATTGATTGATTGGTTGATTGGTTGATTGATTGATTGATTGATTGATCCGATTGAATCAATCGATTCGATTGGTAATCAATCAATCCTTCTTTTTTTTGTATGAAGAATTATTATTAAAAAAAAAATCTAAAATGGTTAATTCGGTGCAAAAAAACAAGGTTTTTTTTCTAATTTTCTTCCTGTGAATTCTCTATGATGTGAGCTACATGCCTATAAATTTTAAAGTCATTTAACTCATCCAAACAAAAATTAAAAATCGCCAAAGATGGCGGTGTCAAAATATGCTCGCCCACTTATTATTATTACTTTTTTTTCACTTTTTACTTTTTGTTTTCACTTTATTGAAGGGTCTAAACGATTTTATTATTTTTTTGAAACTTTTTTAATCGTTTTTTTGTTATGTGAAGTACACATCTGTACATTTTCAAGGTATTTCGCTATGCTAAAAACAAATAAAAAATTGCCAAAGATGGCGGTATCGAAAACGTGCTCACTCACTCACTAATTTTAATTCTCGTTTCATTTTTTCTTATTCTTATTATTAGTTTTAACTTTTATATTTTATTTTTATTTCAAATTTGGTAAGGAATTTGGATGTAATGCTTAGGCAAACGTTGCTGATTTTATTTGTCTTCATAACATATCTGTTTTTCATATTTGTTTGATTTTGTTTGATTTTTTTTTTTTTTTTTTTTCGTTCGCGGTCGGCTCAAACGGTCGAACACATCTCCAAGGGGTCCCGTACGTTCGGGCGTTCCGGTTCAAGTGTTCAAGTTCGGGCATTCAGCCCGTCCCAAACGTCAGTTACCCTGCATATATATATATATATATATATATATATTGAGTATCCACCGGATCTACCATGGTCACGCCTAATGATTTTAAAGTGGTCCTGTATTGAGAAGAAAAGAGGTCTCCGTCCCTTTTGCATTTGCTTTTTGGAATTATTATAGTTGGTCGTTGAAGTCCATGGCGGTTGTCAAAGTGAAACCCCTTGACCTCTTTCCAGGACCTGGATGATGGAGCTCGTCTCCAGGGCCATAAACGTTGACCGCCACAAAGGTCCAAGCCTGTTTACCACCCACTCTCCGTAGGGTGCAGAAGAGGGTAAGACTCTCAATCGCCTTGACGGTTGTCTAGCATCGAGAGATTAATCCCTCAAAGCGCGTGTCAGTCGACACTTGAGTGTCGGAAGTGACCCTCAAGACGAATAAGGGTCACGTGGTTATGGGTACTACATAGTACGTCATCACTACGACTGCGTGCGTGTTCATGCATGGTTAGTCAATTTAACTCGTGTGTCCCGCTCGTGATATTTATTATGTGTCCCGCTCGTGATACTCGTGTGATTCGCTTAGTAAAAGTTATCGGTCAAATGTGGAAAAATGGATTAGTTGCGATTTACGTAGTATGGAGTAATAATTTTTGTTTTTGTCAGATGTATCGCGTGGCAGTGTCGTACTCTCGTTCACCTTTCACGGCCACGGCGAACGAGGGTCGTTCATCAACCACAAAAAATGTGACCGGTGGGAGTTCATGGAGTTCACGCAGAGCGGGAATTCTGTTTTTTTTTTTTTTTTTAGCTGGTGGAGGTTTCGTTTTTCGCACAGGTGTCCGGTTTGTGTCAACGGGCACCCACCCATATATATATACATATATTTTGTAAAAAAAAAAAAAAAAACGATTTCGTTTGTGTTCGGCGTAGCTTTTTTGGCCATGTGGGGCATTGTGAGGGTGTTTTGGGCCCTAAAGGAAACAATTAAAAAAATTGATGATGGTATGCCTGCACCGCGTCATTAAATAAATCAATTAAAAAAAAAAAAAAAAAAAAAAACGTTGGGCCGTGTTTTGTGGGAGGCGGGTTGGTCCTTTGCCAGGTGCAGGTGACCCGGCCTTTTTCGTTTCGTGGTGCAATAAAGGACCAACCACAACGGGGGTCCA